GATTGGGTCCTGCATATTGTGATATGTATATTGTGACATGTGCATTGTGGCATGTGTATTGTCATAATGCTTGCGCGTTTTCCAAGTGTATGTTTGTAAAATATATAAATAAGTATATTTAATGTATTTGGTTTTCACCTATGATGAATTGTGTTCTTCTTCGTTGACATTGTTATATTTTACAAGATCTGAAGTAATGACCGAAAACACGATACTAAATACTGGCGTTATTTTGTCATGGACGCCATTTCGTCATCGCTATTTTTCGGCGTTATTTTGCTGGCATTATTTAGTCATATATGTCCCCCGCTATTTTGTCGGGTTATGACCAAACATTAGTTCGGTTAAATCAGGGTCATAGTTCACACCTAGCCATATACATTTTAGTGCTGTTAGTCCGTATACTTTGACACCATAAGTAATTTAGTAGCTATAATTTAAATGTATTTAATTCTTTTCAATATATATATATAATAAATATATTTATTACATTGAACGTATTCTAGGCTTCGTTGTATGTATTTTCTTTTATTGCTGATTTCCTACATTGTACGTCATAGTTTCTAGGGTTGGATATGAAAGAGGATTACGACCAGATATGGCCAACGAGCCGTTTGTCAGGAATCACTGTTCTTCAATATTAAGATAAACTAGCGAGAGATTTATAACTCTGAACTGTGTCTTTACATATAAGAATATAAGAAAATGCTTCTTTAAAGTTATAAGCCAAGAAAAATAAGGTGCTACATTTAACTTTATGTTTATACAAAACATTATAATTATAGAAAACCAAAATATACATTCACACCAGACGCACTCGCATGTAAATTATGAATGAGTCTGGTGTGAATGTTTATTTTGGTTTTCTATAATTATAATTATAATGGTGTAATGCAAAAATTGTAAGACAAATTTCCTAATGGATAATAAAGATTATTATTATTATATTATGTTATTACACCACCAGTATGAACATGGAGACACATAAGAGGAAGAATGGAAACTTTTCCTATTTCTATAAGTGGGGTCTCAGCAATGTCAACGCCGATGCCTACGAGCCAAGAAAAGACGTCTATGTGAAAAACGTCCAATCTTGGAAAATGAGAACATTGAAGTCATTGATAAAAGAGTTAGGACATGAAGAGGTGACTTTTTGAATACTAAATAATTTTTCCTATTAAATTTTTGTTATTGAAATAAATTGTCCATTTCAAACTTTTTTATAATGAAATAAATTGTCCATTTCAAACTTTTTAAAATTAAAATACATTGTCCTTTTCAAAAAAAATTTTTTTATTGAAATAAATTGTCCATTTCAAATTTTCTGGAGAGCACGTGATGATGCCAGAAAGGGTTTAGGGCGGTTTAAACTTTAAGTAACATTTCTTATGTCACACTTCGAACATTCCCAGAGAACAATCCAATAATTCATTATAAACATGAACACCACATGTGCTGTGTTTAAAAATAAAAATTTTGAAGAATGAAAATGTTTATTAGAAGTTTTGAAAAGATTTTTTGAAGTTTTGATAAGATTTGTATAAGTTTTAGAAAACGATGTGCAAACTGTTACTGAACATTAATTTTCGAAACTTTTGCGAAAATACCCGAAGATAAATATTTTCTACTTTCTTTCATACTAGAGTTTTACCTGTGCAGCCAACGAGCTAGTAATTCTTTTCTCAGCGATATACATCAACAGCGAAATTTCTAGATAAAACATTTGAGCCGTTTTCAATATCCGTGTCCACCCAGGTTTTCGAGCCCACCCAGAAGGTTTTTAATTCCACGAAGGTACTAGTTGAGTAGAGGTAGGCTATCGTAAAACAAACAAAAAACTGTTTTAAAAAGACAATACATCTTTCATACAAGTTATGGAGCCATTAGTTTGCTCTGAATCACTCATGACTCGAACAAGAAAAACATCAAATAATATTTTTTTAACAATACCTCCGCTCTACAACTTCAAATAAACTATTTTTTTTAATTTGTCACGTATTACGAATTGAATTCTACTTTTAAATGGCTTGCCTAGGGGAACGTGACAATAGAAAAAGGTAGTTGTGTCACTTATCTTAAGTCTGAATTTAATCAAAGACTTACAATGAATAACAAACAAAAAATGACACAAGAAATCGGAAGGTAAAATATCAACTTAAGGTTTAATAACATATAACTCGAATAGTACTTTTAACTGATTCACATAAAGCAAGAAAAAACAAACATTTACTCAATACAAAATGGAAGGGTTGACCAAAACCCTTTTACAAAAATGGCATGTAAAAATATTACAATACAATAGTTTGAAAATATAACTACAAATACAAGCAAGGCCTTGAAAAAGAAAAATCTTAACTTACACGATCAATTGGTATACCACGCACGGGTCACGCAATGTCTCCGCTATTCTGTCTCACGGCTGTCTCCGTATGTCTGTCCGTCAACGTTACACGGGCGGTCTTTATATAATATACCGCGCGTCGATATCAAGACAAATCTAGTAATTTCTAGAACAGAATAAGTCATCAACACCCAGATCTAGAACGCTCTTCAAAGAGACAGAAGAAAAAAAAAACCACCCTCCTTTCAACCAGAGGTACACACATAGGTCAAAGACCGGTCACTGTCTGTGTGGCTTGACTCACCGTGAAAAATAAAATTAAAAAAAACTTATTACACAAGGGGCAGACAACCTACAGGTCAAGAAAAAAAAAATAGTATCTAGGCATTGTTACCTAGATACGTAACAAATTACTTTTATTTTTTTAGTTCCAATTGGGTATCTAACTCGTGATGTTGGCACTGTCGGCTGCTTGATCGAATGTTTCTACCAATTGGGCCAGTGGGCATTGTAGAACTCATAACATCTAGTCTATAGATCTACTTCTTGATCTAGAATCTAGACGTAATCTATATCAGATTTACATAAAATATAGGCAAAGCTTAGATAATCTATAAATAAACTTAAAGTAACTTTAAATTCAATAAACAACCTTTTTTTAAAAATTTAATCTAGACTTAGAAGACGATGCGCAAAATTTTCCTGAACACCTTAACATTAATTTATAAACTCTTGAATCAATAATGCCAATCATTCGGAAATTCCCGAACGCGATAGTCTTTTCAAGAACGCGATAGTCCTTTCAAAACCAATGTTGGCCCTAGATCTAAGTTCTTTAAAGCCTAGTACTCAAGACAAATTTACATTTATTTATTTTTTACTTTAAAAAAATTAAACGGTCCAACCAGAGTTTTTCCGTGCGACCAACGAGCTAGTAATTCTTATACATCAACTGTTAAATTTCTAGGAAAATCGTTAGAGCCGTTTTTGAGATCAGCATCCATGCAGCTTCAAGCTTTTTGGTTCCAGCATCCAAGAAGTTCTGACTTTAATAAAATAATTGTAAAAATAGGAAAATTGTATATCTCGCCCATCCCGGTCCCATTCCCCCCTCCCCAATATTGATTGAGCGAATGTATTAATCTCCTTGACGTTATAATATTCCTATCAATGATAGGTCTTTAGATCTAGACATAGAAGACGAGCATTAATATATTAAACTCTTTTATGAATAAGGCCTATCTGCGAAAATACTGTTCAAGATTTTCTAGTTCTCTAGCTAAATTGAAAGGTATTACTTTTTATACATTGAAAAATCGTAACGGTCAAGCTAGAGTTTTCCCAGTGGGGCCAAATAGCTAGTAATTCTTTTCATAACAATATACTTCAACTGCCAAGTTTCTAGGAAAATTTTCAGAGCCGTTTTCTAGATCCGTGATCATCTAGGTTTTTGAGTTTTGAGCCCATAAAGTTTTAGGTTTTAGTTTCCGCTAAGACAGGAGTTAGTTGAATAGGGGAATGGTAAAAATTTCGGTCTCGTTTTAAAACAAATACTTATTGAATAGAGGATGGTTTTTCATGAAAAAAAATCTAGGTAGAAAAATATGTATATGTAAATTATATGGACAACTTGATATTGAAATAAAGTTTTGCTATCCAAATTCTAGTGAAAGGAGGAAATTGAAAGGGGGATTTTGCAAGCCTCTTGTGCAGAAATTGGCCGTTAAATAAAAAATTATATTTTTATCTTATTGGATATATCATTATGTATATATTATTGCATCTGATTAAATATCTTATAGCTTATCGTATTATGTAACATAGAAATATTATTTTTGTTTCGTTTTCTAGAGGACTATAGATGTTCTGAAAATGGATATTGAAGGCTATGAATGGGGAGTTGTTGATAACTTGTTAGAGACAGATGTTCTGAAACAAGTTCGACAATTTTTGATCGAGTATCATTTATTTCCTTCCTTTCCAGCTAAGGTTGAATACGTCTATCTGTATCAGGTAAATGTAGTGTATCAGGTAATTTTAGTCAAATGTCTATCTGTATCTGTTAATTTAAGTGAATATGTTTATCTGCATCAGGTAATTTTAGTGAATATATTTATCTGTATCAGGTGATTTAAGTAAATTAATTTTGTTTTAAAGCCAGGATCAAATATTTTGAATTTCTGAAAGGGCCAGCACAAAGTGTTTCTCCTTTTTAAGGGCCACCCTATCTAGTTAGAATATGTAAGTCATCCCGTGGGAAAATAATATAGTTTTTTCTTTTATACTGCCCAACCTGTGACCGCAGCTCTGTATTAAGGATGGGCCTCTTTAGTCACACAAGAAGTTGCAAAGGGAATATACTTCTTTTTAACACGTAAAATGCCACAGAGGGCCATTGGAGATAGAGCATTTAACAGTACATTTTAAAAAGAAGAAGTTACATTGTGTTACTATGTTGGGTATTTTTATCTGGCTATATTTTTTTAAAATTCTTCCAGATAATCTAAATATGTATAGAAAACATAACTTTTTTAAAATGTAGAAATTTATCATTTTCATATATATTCTTAATTTTTTCAGACTATTTCAAGAGTTAGAGAAATGGGGTTTAGAGAATTTTATTATGGTGATGAACCAAGAAATATTAATGAGGCCAACTTTAACAATCAACGTGTTGTGGACTACGTCAGCTTTTTTTTTCAACATTGAGATCACGTAGGACCTTCAGCACTATGTATATACAGAGGAGAAAGAGAAAGAGTGAAAGATACAGACAAACAAAAAAATTTACAAGACCATCTCATCTCACAATTTTCCATTGTACGACTGGTGAAGGTAGAATGTATCTCTTTAATGTATCTCTTTAAAAATTAGAAGAAATGCCGACAAACTAATGACTAAAGCTATGTACCTTGTAGGAGGATGTCATCTCTGTGTGGTAATACTCAGTCTTATGGTAGACATGGAGTTCTGAGACTTAAATGTCAACTTGTCGAACAGTGTTTCCCAAACTGTGTTCCACAGAACCCTAGTGTTCCGCGAGGCCTGATAAGGTGTTCCACGAACTGCAGGAATAATTAACTTGGAGGCCACGACGTGAATTAATCTCTATAAAAAAAATAAGCAAGGTGTTCCTCTAACTACTCAGACTATGCAAAGTGTTCTGTTAAGAAAATGTTTGGGAAGCACTGTTGTAGAGGTTCTATTTATTAACAAGAATTGGTTCTTGTCTATTTGTGTCATAGTTGTCTAAAGTTGTGGTGTGTCTGTGATTCCCTCTAATATAGGATCTCCATTGGATTGTGTCAAATCTAGAAGCTCAAAACCATTGTAGTTCTAGTGGCACTACAGATATTTATTGTTTTTATTTTACTTGTTCATTGTTCATTTTATTACTTGTTACAAGTGATGAGATTAACGACATAAACAATTTCTTTAGTTATTACAAATTAACAACCAAATAAAGAAAAAAAACAATGCTAAATAACCCCTCCCCCCCCCCCCCCAAAAAAAATGTGTTTAAAGTTTTTTTTTTGTTGTTTTTTTTTTTACATACCGTATAGGTTAAGACATTTGAACTCATTTGAAAAGTCCTATCCCCCCAAAAAATTGAAAGGTTTTATCCGCAAAAAAAATAATAATTAAAAAATTGGAATTTCAAAAGGGTTTATCATATTTTTTTTTTCCGCTTTTCTCATTCTATTATTTGACATATAGTAAACTGTAAAACTATTTGTTTTCCAGAACATTCAAACATTCCCAATGTTTTCGTCAATCTTTATGCTTAAATAAAAAACGACATTTTTTTTAGAGGCCCTTGAAAGGAGAAATAGCCGCTATTAGTTTTGTGTGGTCTGTCGGTCCGTCTGTCCGTCCCGCTTAGATCTCAAAAACTACAAAAGATATTGAGAATCCGATATCATGATATTTTAATGTGATTTTTTTTTAAGTTATGTAACGGCTATTTTTTTTCTGAAACCGAAAACTTTAATTTTTTTAATTTAATATGTAAGCAGGTTTTTTTTTTCATAAAAATACACCAATTTACAACTATTCACTATTAATAATAAAAACAACAACACGGGAGACTGCATAAGTAAGGGGGGATACATTTTCTGTATATTTTTAAAACATATGCAAACGGCTTGTTGTTGTTTTTTGTTTGTTTGTTTGTTTGTTTGTTTGTTTTTTTCTGATAAAAAAATGTTTTTAGTATAAATAGAAATCCCATTGAACAATTTCTTTTAGGCAAAGTATACTTTGAACCATATCTACGTAACAATCGGTTCATTGTATAGCTATGGATATGTGATAATAATAACACTGCTATATCTCAGTACTCTTTGGTATCATGTCGTCAGTCCGCATTACAATAGTTTCAATACGTACATTTTATTTTTGCATGGGTGAAGATTTGGTTGGGGTCATTAATAGTTTGTGCTTCTGATATTCATGCTAAAAATATTGAAACTTGCCTTATTAACTCCCTGAGAAGTTCTATACCATTTTGGGAGCCGATTCTGAGCTTGTGTTTCCACACAAACTCTCTTTGTTATCTTGTTTTTACAGTAATTTTGAATAACAATGCCTTTTCGTAGCTGTATATTACATATTTTGTATGATGTCGTTTATTTAAAGATTTTTCTTTTACGTTGTCCCATGTGTAACTATGAACGCCCATCGCCTTGATATGAAATGTATTAAAAGACCAAAAACCTCGTGCATTTCGTTTTGTTTTTATTTAAAACTTAATTATGCTTTGACCTCATGAATGGCTCTAATGACGTAATGGACCATTGCGAGAAAAAAAAATTCAATTTTCAAAGTAAGTAAAAGTAAATGTATCCCTTTCAGACCTTGCGTTTAAATAGCAGAAGTGAACGGTTCTTTCCCTTAAATAAGTAATCATTTTCTATTGCTTGTTATGTTGTACTAGCCGGATATGACATTCGGCCTGCGGGCCTTAGTTTTGGTATCACTGATCTCTTTGGTGAAATGGCGAACGTTCCCTTCATTTTGCTTTTTCATTCGACTCCCGGTGGGAGGAAGGTCAGTGTGGTATGTGGCAATGGATTTAGCGGCGACCTATTCATATAAAATACTGTGAAAAAAACAACGGGTTTACTCCATTTGTTTATAAGTTTCGTTCTTTAATAGATATAAATATATTTTTTACAATTTTTATGCCAAATTTTATCAAGATTGGTCAAACGGTTTTGATTTCTATGCGAGACATACATACACAGATACATACAAGCACCTAACATTCAATTATATATAATAGATTTGAAAGCATCATGATAAAAAGAAACAACAAAATATTAGGGCCCACTACCAGTTATTTCCCATGTGATAAAAAAAAAGATTACAAAGAGAATTTGTGTTATCACACAAACTCAGAGGCGCCTCTGTCAAAGTCGGATCCCTGTCGGATCCGCCTATTCGCAAGGAATGGTCAAGACCTGATTTAATTTTGATGGTCAAAAGTCATAATGTTTCAAAGATTCATTTGCCGTTGTAAAAAATGTTTTTTTTTTTCTGTTTTACATGTTTCGGATGTCGTATTTGAAAATAATCAACTTCTCGCTGTACGACGGAGGATGGCAGCGAGCAGTGTATGAACCCTGCCTGGTCGTTCAATCTGCGTGCTGGACTGTCGTTCAGATTTATCGATGGTCCCTGGTTCAAACCCTGCCCGTTCCCATCCCTCGTCGTCCTGCCGGAGGTTTGGACTAGGAAGTAAACTATCTTCAACTCTGAAGGAACATCCGAAACATGTAAAACAAACAAACAAACATCCCGGCACACTGTCAAGATAATCAGTTCAGAACGCTAACCGCACGACCAGGCATTGCTCTTAACTTAATGACAAACTGGTTACAAACTAATAGCCTAACGATTTTAGATAATCGTTCAGCATTGATTTGTAGGGATGTAGATCTACATAAACTAAACTTCTGATTTAGCACTCTTAAGATAGATATATATATATATATATATATGTATATATATATATATATATATATATATATATATATATATATATATATATATATATATATATTGTTATACACCTGGTAGTGGCACAGATGGGTATAGTGGTGTGAGTGTAGTCAGCCGACGCAAATCGCCCCAGGCCAGCGCTAGACGAGCGGTCAACGTGACGAGATACGACGGTCAGCCGAGTCGAGTGTCAACAGGACGGTTCGGGAAGGATCGCCGTCGTGAACAGAGCTCAGGAGTGTCACGAGGGATGTAGTCATGTGACGAAGCTAGAAACGTCGAGCGATGTTCCGTCCGGTTCTAGAAGGCCAGTAGGGACCCTATATAAAGAGCGGAGGTGTCCAGTCAAGACAGTTCACGTCAGGGGTTCTGGTCGGCTACAGCACAGTTCAACGGTGTGGTTCTGTACGGAGCATTACGACGGTTCGGAGTACTGTCAAGTACAGTTGAGACTAGGGGTGCACCGGATAGTACTTTTTGATATCCGGCCGGAGCCGGATATAACCGGATAGTATAATTAGATATTCGGCCGGAGCCGGAGCCGAATACCTACATGACTCAAACAGCTCGTTTTACTGAAGTTTTTGCAAATCTTCTATATAACATACCTATATTCATATTATTTTGTTATTACTTTCTTACTTTAAACTCTATCACTCATTGATAAATTAAAATCAACAGCATTTTTTTACAGATATGCTTATCATAAACTAATCTTTGTAACATGAGATGGTGTGTGCGTATATATGAGGCCACTAATTGTAAAGTAGAATGTGGAATAACTCATGCAGAATATATAAACCTATATGTTACTAATGTAAATCTTTCAAAGGTAAAGTTCAATCTTGGTTTTATAGCGTAAATCTCTCTTAAGTACAATCTAAGTTGTATAGTGGGTAGATGTTTGTGTTCATGTATTTTACACCATCAACTTGTCATTAGGCTCGTGTTTTAAAGGCCACAAACCGCTTCTTGTTTGTACCTTATACAGATAGTGGCTTAGTAAATATCTTAAGTAATTCCAGTAATAACGAGGAGTTACTTGACACTCTTAAATTTTATTAAGAATTTTGTGATTCAATCAATTTCAATGCAGTCATTTCGTTGAATAAGTCTGGGTGTTTCGAGTGTAGATGACTAATCATATTGCTGGTTGAGAAGTCTTTAGGTTTGCCTAGTTTACCACGTGACAGAACTATTTTACAAGCATTGCAAACTGCTTTAGAGTTGTCCATTGTTTTGACATTAAAGTAACGCCATATAAGTGATGACTTTTTATCAGCCATTATTATTACTTTTCAATTTACTAAATGCCCTTGCAAGCCACTTTTATACCCGTGGCTTGTGTAACAAAATACTTGTAGGGGTGTGTCCTGTAGTTCAGCGCTCTAATGGACATTTCTCTCCAAGTAAACAAACTTAGTGTCATCATCTAGTGACCTCTAGACAGTGTCAATATGTCTTAACAATTTGCGTTAATGCATTCTGGCTTAAGAATGGTCAATGTCTATATTCTCTATCAATACATTGTCATGGATTAAACAAATAAGAAGTTGGGGGTGTTGAGTCTCTTGAGCCCTCCCTTTAAAGATACCCTTGGTCAGTGTCTGTTTGGCTTGTAGTCCTGACTCATAATTGAGACTTAGCTCAAAGTAAACAAACTTATTACCCGTCCAATAGTATAAAAGGTGTGGTTTGTGGTCCAGACCCTTGATTGACAACCTATCTCATAATAAACAAACTCATACCAAATTAACCTTATAGAGATTTGGCTTGTAGTCATAAAATAAAATAAAGTAATAAAAATTCTACTCTAAGTAAACAAACTCAGTTCCCTCATAAGATGTGACCTCTAGACAGTGTCAACACGTTGACATCTGGCTTAATGTGGTCAGCTGCTTATCTGTGAACTCAATGTTATGGACTAAACAAACAAAAGGAGGTGGGGGTAGCTCATCTCTACCTCTGGAGATATACCCGCACATCTAGACAGATTATCAGCGTGACTAGTTAAGGAATATGACATGTTTACTAGACCACTCAAAGGTCAAGACAAGCCAGTGTGCCAGACATTGCTGCTACGTATGTAATACGAATTTATAATGTAAAGTCTAGTCTCCCCCCCATAACAAACCTAGTTCCCTCGTGTGACCTCTAGAGAGTGCTTACGTCCATCGTATCTGACTTGGGGTCACCTGTCAATCAATGAACTCAATGTGATGGGCTAAACAAATAAAAGGGGGAGGGAGTTGTTCATCTAGAAATATACCTGGTTACCTTATAGGTGTGGCACTTGTAGTCCAGCCCCCCCCCCCCCCCCAAATAAAGATTAACTACTAAGTAAACAAACTCAATTCCCTCGAAAGGTGTGACCACTAGAGAGTGTCTATACGCCGACATTAAACCTACGTCCATCGTATTTAACTTGTGGCCTATAAAAAACTCAATGTGATGGACTAAACAAATAAAAGGGGGTGGGAGTTGTTCATCTCTACCTCTGGAG